TTACTTTTTAATTAATGAAATCGTAATCAATGATAAAAATAATCTTAAAGTTATCGTACAGTTAAAGTTTTTTAAACTTCATAACTAAGTTGGAATAAATAGCACTACCCCTAATGAACAAATACACAATACAAATGAAATAACAAAAATGGAGATTGTTAATACCAGCGATTTAATTGGAGTGAGTAGGAATTTTAATCTTGTCACACTCACGATGTTTAATCTTGTAAATTGGGGTCACATTGTATTTTAAATGGTCCAATTTTTTCCATCAAGTTTTAATGTATCTGAATTACTTTGTTGGAAAAGAATTCAGTTACAATATACTTTTAACAATTTTTAAATTTGAATGTTATATAATTACTCATATTTTTTATTACCTTTTCCAATAAAATACCGTTTACTACACTGTTAATTAATGACACTGAGACAAAACAGTGCCTGATTACTTTGAATTATTCTTTTTAAAATGAAAATGTAGGAAATACAGTTGAATGAAAAAGTAAACTTTATTTCTTACATGATATACTGTTAATATTTGTTATTTTATTCAAAATCTATTTTTAACAAGCAAAAGCTTCTTGAAAATAGATACTATACTTCTCAGTTGTTGAGTACTTCCCTTAGTAGTCAACAACTGAGAAGTTTTTATTTATTTTTCTCTATTTTTATCATCTATAAGATACTTTTATATTATTATAAGTTTAATCTAAAAATAATCATTAAATTTATGAACGAAAATAAAATTATTTTTAAAAATAATTTAATTGTCAATGTGATATTGGTTTCTGTTTTCTGTTAAACATTAAATAATTTATACAGTTAAATAGATTTACAAATTTTATGCAAATGTAATGCTTTAATATTTTAAATGGATAAGGGATTACAAAACAAACAAAAACAAATTGGAAACACTAATTACAAAAACAGATTAGTATTTATAACATAATTTGTGTTAGTATAATTGATATGGTTCTAATTATATTCAATTCAGATGAGTTTTCTATCTTTTAGTAATCTAGATCATGAAAATTACATCATTCACAATATCACGGAAGCTTTTGCAAAATAAATTATTTAATAAAATATTTACAAATGATATTATTTCTTATATACAATATAGCCAAAACTCATATTAACTGAATTTAAACCTAAACTGCAAGATTATTTTTTGGGTAATGTTAAAGCTAATTTTAATTAATTACATATCCAATTTGGTCTCAAGGTAGATTTTTAAGCTGCTATCCTGATAGAAATTAATTTTTAATTTAATTAAATAATTTAAAAACTTTTGAAGGAAAATCAATAGAAAGTAAAATTCTGCTTACTACACAGATGCTATTTAAAACTATATTCTACCTTCATTTTTAGACAGTTTAGATTTAAATTTGACATTATTTCAGATAAAATAGTCAAAACAATTATTTTGCAAAATTATAAATATATAATTTACAGCATTTTTGTTTTGATTTACACATAACTTAAGCTATTTTATTTTCTCATTAATAATATTTTATACTTTTGTTGTATATATATATATATATATATATATATATTGGGTGATTGGTTAACGAACAGATCGGNTTATAGGTGTATTTAGGTCGCTAAAATCATCCCAAAACGCATAAATTTCACATTTTTAAAATAAAAATTTGCATTTTTTTACTTTATTACGTATATATATATATATACATATATATCAAATTTTATAAAGTATTCTGTATTTATTGCAAAATATATTGAAGTTAAGAATATAATGAATTTTTAAATTATATTATTCTTATTTATATATATTTATATATTAAGAATCTTTTCATTCATAATTCAAATAAATAATAGATAAATAACCACAAAATTCAAAATTCACAGATAATTGATACAAATAAGAAAACTAGCATAATTTTATGTATAAATGCATATTTACATAAGTAAAAATTTTGTTTGTTAAGAATAATTTAAAATATTAACATGTTTATGCACAATAAAGTCTAAAATAATTATGTACAGATTGATTAAAATTTATAGCATTAATTTTAAGATCTGCATGATAACTTTTTTATAGGACATAGTAATGTAATAAATATAATGAAAAATATATTAATTCCTGAAATTTTAATAATAACAGAGTTATTAAGTAAATAATATCAAAATATAAATTGTATGTTTAAATAAAAATACACAACCAAAAAAAAAAATGTTTAATATAGAATGAATCTATTCATTCTGCCTTTTAATGGGATCTTATTTTTACCTAGGACAGCGATTTCTAAAGTGTGCACCACAGCACCCTAAAGCGCAGCGACTTCCTTACAGGGACACCACAAAACCATAAAATGTTATAAAATTTTTATAATGTTAGAATTTAATGTACTTGTTAGAATTTGATATAGGGCACCTTGGGAAAATCTGCATTTAGCAAGGGTGCCTAGAATCAAAAAAGTTTAGTAACTACTGACCTAGAACATTACTTGTTTTTGAGCTAAGATTACATTTACCTACATTAATGAGATATCTGGATTCATGGAGATGTTTAGAGTAAACATACATAAACAGTAGACCCCTATAACATGGGTTCATATAATGTGGATTCTTATATCGCAGCGAAAAAATTGCGATCGTATTCATATAAAGATGCTAAAAGAGACTCGTAAAATGCGGTAAAACATCATCGCTGACTCATGTCGCAACAGGATTGGTCGAATGTGGACCAATAGTGGACGAGCAGCCGAACTACTTACATGCTACAGAGAGTTTAGGCGGATAAGTTGAGTTTACTATTGTCTGTACAGTATATAAATTAGGCACTGTAAATCTAATACAATACTGTAATTTTATACATTTCTTGTGAAAAAAACATTTCTTATTCAACAGACATAAAAATTATTTCTATTAATGATGTTTCAAAGTTCAACAAATTTTTTGCAGAAAAATAACTTATCAGAAAACACGGCCGCTGTTTCATGTGCTGCTCCGCGATGAAAACAAGCTTAAGCAATGGCATTGTCGAACGGAGCACACTCGATAAGTAATCCTACAATTTTTTGTTTATAGCATAGTTTATACGGATAATTCCCAAAAAATTATACGTGTTTTGGAAATGAGTCAAATTAGTCTGGAATCAATTAATTTTATGGAAGAAAACCTTTCAAACAGCCGTAGTCCATAAACTGCACACATGCCGGGCTGTGATTGGCTCATGTATTTAAGGATTCCTACAACGCGAAATTCTTATAAAGTGGAACGTTATAGGGAATCGACTGTATATATATTTACTCTAAACATCTAAACACACACACACATAAATATATATGTTTAGAATGAGGAGGATTTAAGTTTAATTTNGCAGACAACAACAAAACAAATACAGGACTTTTTTATTTAAAAATACTTAAATCTCAATTTTATAAAAAGTTATTAAATTTATCTTTAATTCATTTTAAAAAGTAATTTAAAGAAGCTTTAAATTTATAATTTCTTCAAAAAGATTACAAATTTACTAACTATTCAATAACTAAAGAACATAAAACTCGATAAAAATCGATCATAAAAAAATAAATAAAATATTCAAACCTTTATATATAATATTTATAAAATGAATGTGATTTTTTTTATAAATTTGATAAAAATTGTATGAAAATAATTAATATTAATCTTTGATTTTTCTCATTCATAACTATCTGAATATAAATTATGCTAAGCTTAGATATATCAGATAGTGATATTCATTGAACATGTCATGCAAGATAATAATATGAATTCTTGCTTATGAAAAATTGATATTTCATTCAATAGAAAGACTTCTAAATATAGATTTAAATTAGCTACTTTAATATGAAATTAAAAAATAATAATTCTTTTGTGTGTACTTCTATATGGGTCTATATCTTATCACTTGTTAAATTAGCAATGTTAGCTTAAAAATTTATAATTAACTCATAAAAATTATTAAATGTATATGCTCTATAATGTATTCTATAATTGACTTTTTCTTATTTCATTTTACGTTCTTATTAATGAGTTGAATACCATTTCGCAACCTTTAACAACGTTGTAACTCCTACAACATTATAGTAGGAGTTCGCGTTCTACCTGTTGAGAAGTTTAAACTAATTTAACATTTTCTTTTAAACCTTAACGCAAATAATGCAAGAGAAAAAAAGCATAATTAGTTAATTTAATAAAATTACAAGTTATTTGTAATTTTTATGCTATTGTCTATTCAATTATAAATGTTTGTTTTTTTTTCACTTGTTAAATTTAGAATATAAGCTACAAAATTTATAATTCACTTAAAAGTATTGCACAAATGTCCTCTTTAATAAGCTTTATAAGTCTTTTTTTTTTTTTGTTTCATTCTGAGTTAATATTAATGAATTAAATACTATTTCTCAACCTTTAACAATGATGTAATTTTGTTACATTATATTAGGAACGCTCAATCTACAACTTGGAAAGTATGATCTAATATTATAATTTCAACTAAATTTGAATATTAAGAAAAGGTAACAAACAATCAATTAACAATAAAATATTTTAATTCATATCGTTAAAAAAAATAATTTTATAATTCAACATTTTTTAAATAATTTTTTCAACTAAAACATTAATGTCAAACAAGATAGTCTATCTGATAATGGATAATAAGATTATTGCTACATTTATATTTTTTTAACATTAATGTTATATAGAGTAATGCATTAAATTGTAGATAATAATAATTATTATTTTAATAAATTTTAAGGTTAATGGAATTTAATTTATGAGTATGTATCGTGTGCTATGATAATGAAGGAACAACTCATTTTTCCAGCAATAATTCTAGAAGATGATAGTTTTCTTAATGGATTTATTATGATAATAAATACTTAAATTACTGTCATCATGATAACAAGTGGCAATCTTTTAGTAATGACCCAGAATAATAATAAAAAAAATTTTTTTAAAAAAAATGCTAAAATTTTATGGAAAATTTTTATTTTTTAGTCCTAATCTTACCTTACACCACTAGAAGTATCTGAGCAACTAATAAAAAAAATTTTTTTATAAAAAATGCTAAAATTTTATGGAAAATTTTTATTTTTTAGTCCTAATCTTACCTTACACCACTAGAAGTATCTGAGCACCGTCCATTATTATAGCATGGATAAGGCCTTTTACGACAAGTTTCCATTTCTGAAAAGTCTCGAGCACCACAGGCACATTTTGGATGAACCCAAGTATTAACACCAACAAATGAAGTTCGGTTAGCATTAACTACAATTGGTTGACGATCTACCATTAAAACATTGGTACAACTGGTTTCACAATTGATGTTCTCAAAAAGGCATTCATCAATTCCAACCATGGTGATATTGATTTCCACTCTTTGTTCAATCTGTAAACATCATTTATAATTATTAATCAGAAATAAATTTTATTTAGTTATAAATTTGTGATAAAATGCCAAAAATTAATAAAGTAATAAAAATAAATACACAAAATTTTATGACTATGTGTAATTTCAGTTAAAAATGTATTCAAAAGGTTGCTTTAATTTATTCTATTTAGTTCATTTATTTCCTTATCATTCCTTATAATATATAATACACACACACAAGTACAAATACATGTGAAAATTTAATAAACATACATACTTTTAAAAATACAACCTTCAAATGAGCCAATTAATTAACTCAATAAAACAAAAAGNTTTATAGTTTTATTTCAAATTATATAACATAAATTTAATGAATGAGAGAACATAAATTAATACAATACATATATAAATTCTCCCTCAAAAATCTCTATTACATAATTTTATGTATACATTAATCTCTTCAACAAAAAATTTTATAAACAGATGTATGGAAAACTAACATAGTAGCATTTATCCAATTCAACTAGTTGACATATGCTTTCTACCTATTGGTTATTTCTGTATATAAAACATATCTCCATTTCAATACAGAATACAGTCAAACTGTATATGTTTTTCAAGAAAACTGAGAACAATATTGTATAAGAAAAAATATACAAGAATGAAGTTACTTTTGAATTGCTTTCAGAGTGAACATAGTAGTCACAAAAATATGGCACTGCACAAATTAACACTGTGCAACTGAATTCATATGTGTAATTCTTAACAAAAAGTTTCAATTTATTACATATATAATACATTTGAATAACGTATAAAAGGTAAAGTAAACTCAGTCTAAAATTAAACCATATAATTTTAAAAAATTGATAAGTTTTGTTTGTTTGTTTGTTTGTTTGTTTTAGGACAAATTTTTCACATACTGGTACAGATGACGTCAGTTGTCTCCTTCCTTTGAAATTCTAGTCACTAAAAGAATAGTCTTTCAAAAGTTTAGCTCACACCTGACAGTGAATAGTGAAAATGAAAACAAATCATGTTTTGTTTTTTCAATTTGTTTAGCAAAATTTATTCACACTAAAAAATGTGGAAAGCAAAATTTTCAACATGTTACATTGACAGAGCAATTTGCTAAAGGGTAAAACTCATTACATATTATTTTTGTTTTTTTGCAGTTGCTGGTGATTCATTGTCAGTATGGACTAATTGAATACATAATTTTCTTTTCACTTTTTTTAATAATTGCTTAAAATTTTTCCATGTCAAAGTAAATAATGCATAAGTGAGAAAAAAGTGTTTAAGTGTACTGTAAAATGTAATGTATAAGTGTGAAATCATGCACAGTAGAGCATTGATTATCTGACCCCCGATTAACCATCACATCGGTTAACCAACCGTTCTAATCAGCAAATTCAAATGTCTGCTAGTGATGTGGCGCTACAATATTTGGCTATGTCTTTGCTACTTTAACAGTACTTTTACATGTTTTGGCTGGCAACACTGGCTCGACCATGAAAGGAAGCCAGTATTTAAATGAGGCTTAATTTTCTAATTTTAACGATACAATAGCGACAATTATTATTTAAAAAAAATTTTTCTTAGGCTTAACATCAATGAAAATTCAACACAAAGTAGATTAATAGCGATATACTAATATACTAATTACATGAGATATACTAATATACTATACTAATATGTATTTTTTCATATTTTTCGGTTATCTGTTTTTTCAGTTATCCGACCAACCCCAGTCCCCAATTGAGTCGGATAATCGATTCTCTACTGTAATAGGAGTGTTTTATAATAAAGAAAGTATAGTGCAGAAATTTTACATAAAATTGCAGAAATGTACAACTAGGAAACATATAAACAAGGCTAAACTATATTATGAAAAATATTTAATGTATTTAAGCCATCACAAGCCTTTCACAACTAATCCTACATTTTTTAAACTGCATTATGTTTAAAAAAGTAATATTAAAATGAACATTTTTGTTCAGGGAAACAGAGGAGTTTAAAGTCATTTACAATTAAAATTTACCATTAATTTATGTTTAATACATGCAAGGCTGCTTAGCTATGGCAAAAAATATATAAAATGTAAGCTAACAATATTTTCTATTGCACAAAGAAGATCAGCATAGTTGAAGTTCTTTACAATTAAAATATGATGTGAATATTATACATGTAAAAGCTGCTTAGATGTAAAAAAAAGTATTTTACTATTAAAATATCCAGTAACCATGAACATCAGTACATGCAACTTGGGCATTTATTAGCTTATGAGAGAGACTGTGACTTCACACAACACAGGCAGTGACTTTTTGAATCTTTTTGTAACAAAAGTTGCATTTTCATAGCAAATTAAATGCAATCATTTATTCATTAATTCTATTAATATTTTAATATTTGATATAATGCAAAAGGTAAACATACAGATTTTTTTAAAAATAAAAACAGAACATTTTAATATTCATTTGCAAACATTTTTAAAAATGAAAACAGGATATTACTTCAGTAGAAACTTTGATGAAATTTTATGTTTAAAAACATAAATTTGTAGTTATATTACATTAATCATAATATTCAATCTAGTAATTTAAATTATTCTTTCAACATGTAAATATAATTTATTACAGCATGAATTATTATATCAATCAATTACATTAGAATGAAATTATTGATGAAATAAGCTTACAAATAGAAAGATATAAAACTGTTAAGCATTCTAGACCATGCTTTTAAAATATTTATCAACTTAAATATTAATAACTTATTAATCATTTAAATTAAAACTGCTTATACATCAATATTTCTAACAACATTTAACACTTTATCATATTTCTATAAAATTATCCTAGACTGTAATTTGATATTCTGAAGTAATATTTGAAATTAGATTTTTTCCTGAGATTATATTTTTAAAACGTGATGAATTAAAAATATGCAAAATTATAAGAAAAAAGAAATTATTCCTAAAAATTAACTATCATGGAAAACTTCTTGTTATTATTGCTATTAAATTCTATTTTATATTAAAAAAAGTAAAAAAAAAANACTCAAATATTTCAGTCAATATTATGTATCAATAATATTTATTATTTTAAAAAATCTGTTATAACAACAAGTTTTTATATTGAAGCATTTAAATAAAAAGTAAAATATATAAAACAGTTATATTAAAACACATACTTGGATCATGCTGGACATCAAAAAACTGTCGAATAATGTCTGGAGCATTAGAATCTAAACGAAATGTGAATGGTGGACCATTGCCCTTTGATCGATCATCATCATCAGTAGCTAAAATTTCCTCAACTTTCTGAGGTGGAGAATGTTCCATAATAACAGGACGATAATCTCTCAGAAATCTTGGTGCATTGTCATTTATATCACTCACAACTACTGTTAATGTTGCTGTGGCTGTTCTTGGTGGTGTACCTAAATTCAAAAAGAGAATTGTGTAATAAATATACTATTGAAAAAATAATTTTTATCAGTTTTTAAATACAAATACTCTTCAATTTTTCTTTAAGATAGAAAATATTATAATATACTTGAAATTTGTTTATTACTAAGCTACATTTATTTGAAAACATTCCTTCCAAATATACAATAAAATAAAGTGAAATAAAAAATAAAACAATTTTTTTTCATTTTAATGAAACATAAATTATAAATGAACCAAAATTATTAACACATTTAACTTATTACATAACTGCTTAAAACATATAACTATTTTTTATTTTTGTAGGTGTAGTAAAACATCTAAGAGGTATAGTATAATATTGATATAATAGAAGAAAAATTGTTTCAGGAACAAAATAACAGAATGGAAAATATTCTTTCCATTCTGTCCAAAACGATCTTATTTACTGTATATTAAGAATAGCAATTCGATAAAATCTTCCTTAGTAAAAGCAGAATTATATGTATTGAAATTGCTACTCTAATAATTTAAAGAAATAAAAATATAGCTAAAATTTTGCTAATGTTAGAATTAAACAAACATAATTTACAAGGATTATTATTTAAATTATTTCAAAATATTTAAAATAATAAAATTAGTAAAACTTAAATACCTGAAATTCTAATAGAACCAGAATTATAAATAGCTTCTTCAGGTATTTCTTTCACAATAACTGATACATTAGCCAGAACATCATGTGTATAAACTCTATCATGAACTGTAAACTTCAAAAAATATGTTCCTCCACTAGTAACATTTTTCATCGTAATCATACCAGTATCCTTATCTAAATCAAAATTTGGATGGACAACATGGTTCTCCCAATAAAATATTTTATCAGGCAAGTCCCAATCATCTAAGTCTTCAACATGAACTCTTCCAATTGGAGTAGGAGGAGATTCACCTAGAATTTTTTAAGAAACAGCACTAAACTTTTAATAAAAACAATATTTTTATATGTATTCATTATAAGTGTTATTTGTAAAATTATAACACTTATAATGAAAAGTGCAAAATGTAGAAAAGTGAATAAAAATATATATGCATATTTGTTTAAAATATATGTAATCATTCTGATTTAAATTCTTTATAAAATCATGTTCAAGTTTTTAAAGTTCATTTAAATTTAAATAATAATTTAAACAGTCTATTATTTAATTACATTTTTGTTGTTTTAGCTGAAATCAACATCCCAAATGTTAACAGATCTGTGCAATTATTACATATAAGTTTTCATTTTATAGATTATACAAAACTTATTGTAAAATGTAATTATAATTATTCTCAGTTGTTTTTCCTATAAAGTATGACATTTCAAATTAAGTAAAGTTTTCAATATTTAATTGAAAATATATATTAATTACATCCACCATAAGAACAGTTAATTCCTGAAGTGACGAAAAGGATGTTAAGATTAAAAAGAAGACATTTTGTGATACTTCTACGCATTTTAATTTGTAATGTATGACTCTCATCTTGGCATGTTATAGTTATATTTTTTAATCTGTAAAATATATTAATTAATTAATCATTTTTCTCATTTTTATATTATCGGTACTAAACATTTTTACCATATGATTCCTATTATAATTTTCGTTATCAAATTTATAGAATAACATGTAATATACAATAAAATAGGTCATAAATAGATCACCAGTTCTCTCATAAAATATGCTTTTCTTTATAAATATAAAAAACAAAAAAAACTATTTTTCATTCAATTGTCAAAAAATATGATCATTGTTTTCTTTTCAGAGTATACTGTATATCAATAATGTAAATGGCATTTCTATAATTTTCATGCCTAAACTTTTTATTAATAATTTCTGATTTTTTCCAAATTTTATAGTATATATCAATAAATTATAACTAAAGTAAATAATAGAATTAATTTCTTATTTAATTAAAATAAATTAAATAAAACTGAAATAACTGAATAAATACCTTTAAAATTATAAACAAAGATTGTTTTACTTCCAGGGTGCATTCTATTATCATTTGTGTCACCAATAATGACAGTTAATGTGCTAGTGCCTGTCATGGAAGGCGTTCCACTGTCTTTGATGACAATTGGCACAAGATATTCTTTCTGCTGTTCTCGATCAAATCTCTCTTTTGAACTCACTATTGCCATTCCATCTCCATTAGCACCAGCTGAGAAAAGACTTATTTTGTTAATACTATATTATAACTATTAGTTAATAATATCAAAATAATTTTAATATAATTAGTAATTTTTATAATTTTTAAAAACTATGATAAAAATAAGATATATTCTATTCACTCAAATATTTCAGTCAATATTATGTATCAATAATATTTATTATTTTAAAAAATCTGTTATAACAACAAGTTTTTATATTGAAGCATTTAAATAAAAAGTAAAATATATAAAACAGTTATATTAAAACACATACTTGGATCATGCTGGACATCAAAAAACTGTCGAATAATGTCTGGAGCATTAGAATCTAAACGAAATGTGAATGGTGGACCATTGCCCTTTGATCGATCATCATCATCAGTAGCTAAAATTTCCTCAACTTTCTGAGGTGGAGAATGTTCCATAATAACAGGACGATAATCTCTCAGAAATCTTGGTGCATTGTCATTTATATCACTCACAACTACTGTTAATGTTGCTGTGGCTGTTCTTGGTGGTGTACCTAAATTCAAAAAGAGAATTGTGTAATAAATATACTATTGAAAAAATAATTTTTATCAGTTTTTAAATACAAATACTCTTCAATTTTTCTTTAAGATAGAAAATATTATAATATACTTGAAAAATAAAAATAATTTTTTTTTTAACAAACTTTGTTTTTTCTATAGTTAACTACATGTATAAATATATTAAATGTCTATGAAAAAGAATTGTTAAAGTTCAAATAGCTCAAAAAATGTTGTACCTTCTAACTGAATATTAAGTTTGAATTAAAAATATTATTATTTAATTTAAGAGATCTAAAAAAGTATATAATTTATATTATTTACAATACAAATTATAGAAAAAAATTATAAAAAGTTAATAAAAAATGAATTTATAAATAATAAAAATTATTAATGAACATTTATTTTTAAAAAAATATATTTCAGTAGCATTAATTATTTGTTTAATTGATTAGTTATTAGATACTATAGATGTTATGTAAACATTATAATTACCATCATCTATTGCCAAAATTTTTACTTGATGCCTAGGAGTTTCTTCCCTATCAAGTTTTCTTTGTATTTTTACAACTCCATTTTGATCAATTTTAAATTGTCTTTTCTTATCAGAAGAACGGTCAATTGTGTAACTATAAATTATTTTTAAAAAAGTTTATTTATACAAATTAAATTAAAAAATGTACATATTATCATAAATACTATATATTTATATATGTATGCTTCTTTGTTTGTATGTATGTATAAAATACTCTTAATTGTACAGTACATACTTTTTTTATATTTTAATAAATAAAAATTTTTCAATATTCTGTACCTGACTTTTGATTTTCCTCCTTGATCAGCATCAGTTGCCCTAAATGTAGCAAGACTAGTGCCCACTTTTGCATCTTCTTGAACAGTAAATTCAATGTTATGCTTCTCAAATTCTGGTTTATTATCATTAATATCCCGTAACCTAACACGTACTTTTGCATAATCCATATGATAAGGTTCAGTTGATTCACCACCATGATCACTTACTTGAATTGTAATATTAAAACCAAAACGTTGTTGTAAATCTTCAAAATCTAAAGGCTGCCATAAAAAATTTATTATTAGACATTATGGTTATATATTAAACAGAAAATGTATAACATATCAGTAAATTTACATGCTGTAAAATAAGTATTAAATTATAAGATTCATAAATAATTAAATAAATAAATAAGTAAATAATCTGATATATGAAATATTCAATGTAAGAACTTGTTATAACAAATAAACATTTACAGCAATAAAATATTAATGATTTCAATCTCATAACTGTAATGATTAGTATAATACACAGTATAATATAATACATGACAGGCATACCAAGAGCAGTGCTTATGGTTCTGCAGCACTTTCTTGATGACAAAGCAGTCAGTTTTGTTAATTTAAAAAAAAATAAATATATTACATATTGCAAGATGCAATTAGATAAGAGGGTAATAAAGTAATTCTAAGGTAATTAAGTAACAGGCCCCAAAAAAACAGCAAGGGAAACTTGCTTTAATCCTCCTGAATCTGTCTTGAGTAGCACCCATATTCTCAAAATCTTGGACATGCCACTATTGCATGATGTATATAATCTACATATATAAATGAGGATGTTTGTTCTCTACACACTCCTAGACTGTTTGACCAATTGTTCTAAAACATGGCATTTATATTAACATACTTCTAAGTTAGGTAATATTGTACATACCACTCCAAAATATTGATTTAATTTCTATATATCAATTAATTTATATCTACAACTGACTTTCTGTCTTCAGATGTAGTATCACCTGTATGCATTTCTAGCATAAAAGCAAAAAATAGTAATAATTTAAAAAATAATAATCAACTAAATATAATTCATACAAAACAGGATATAATTGAAAAAAGAAACAATTATTATATTCAATTAATTACTGAAACAATGATATAGTGCATCTATTATGTACTATATCATTACTATGATGGATGGCATGTGGCATGCACATGTTGAGTCAAAAGTATTACACTGTAACAAACAATTTAAGTATTGGATTTTCCACTCTAATAACTCAATTTCTGCCTACATCAGTATAGGAACTGTGACAATCACATAAAATTATCTGTTTCTTTATATCCATTCAATACTTAGTGGCTTTTAAATATTAACTTGCAATGTAAGTTTCAAGTGTATACAGATAAACACTTGAAGTACAAAAAAAAAAACATAAATTGTGCTACACAAAAATGCAATACAATGAAAAATATCAGTTTCATATATAATCATAAAGAACTATCATAAAAGCAACTTGGTTCTTACAACATGAAATATGTAAACAAAGATTGATTAACACTGACAATCTAATTTCTGATGTCAGGAAAACATTTTTACATTTCCATGTTATATTGTAAAAAAATATTTTTATTTTGCTATTAAAGTCAAGTTGTTACATCTAAGGACTCTGATATTTTTCTTTTTGAACAGTATTTTTGTAAAATTAGTAAGTTTCCATGTTTTAAATTTCTCTCTTATAAATTCTGGCAATGTCACACTAATATCAAATAAACTGTTTAATAGTCAATATCTTAATTTGTATTGTGTTATCAAGATAAGAAAACAGTAATATCAATAACAAGTGAATTGACACAAGGTGAAGAAGTCACAAGTAAAACACTTATGAAAATCACTTATGTGTATGATAAATTATTTTAAGTTTCCAAATTAGAGTTTTCATAATCTTTTTAATATACATAAAGGCAGAACACACAATATTTCTCTCATTTATTTTATATTCATCCATATTTTTCATTTGAAAATTATTTAAAGACTTTTTATTTGACATATAGTTATACTACTCATCATTGATGAATCAATACTTATTACCATATTTACTTGCATATAAGACAAGGTTTTTATTCATTTATCACAGCTTCAAATTCCTAGATAGTCTTATATGTGTGAGTGAAAAATTCTTTGCGTTTTTGCAAATAATTTTTGTGAACCGTGTATTCACACTTTTTTACTAGATACCAGATTTTTTACCCTCTTGTATTTAAAAACAAAAGTATTTTATCTGGGTCATTTGAATTGTTATTGTATATTGTCAGAAGTAAAGATGAATAGCAATAGGAAAAGCAAAGCTTTTGAATTGAATTTCAGATTGAAATCCCAAAATCACACAGGAATCCCATATAAGTTTTAATTCATTCCCACATGAAAATAGATGATTATTCAGAAATCAGAATTCAGAGAAACTCATAAGTGTAATTGACAGAGAGTGGATTCGACTGTTAAGAATTGGTAAAAAAGGTTCCCGATTGTTCAACTTTACATGAATAAACTGTTGTCAATTTTACAAAATTTTTCTTTAAAGTTTAAAATGCCAGTAATTTTTGTGAGACAATGTGTGCATTTATGTGCATTTGATATTTTACTTGTGATTAAAAGAAATAAAATTAGAATTGTATTAATAAATCTAATTTTCTTTATTTTGATCTTTAAAGTCACACCTCGACCTATATGTGAGGTCATCTTATATGTGAGTAAGTACAGTATATAGTTTAGTAAAAAAATGTAAGATATTTTATTCAGTTAAATAATAGTTTAGAGAAAAGTTTTCTAAAATAAACTTTTATTAAATTAAAATTCAAATACATCAATACATATATCAAATAGAAATTAAAAATATACTTAAAATATATAAAATAATATTAAATTTATGTTTTAAACATATTAAACTAAATTTCATAACAATTTAAAAATAAAATTTTAAGCTGCTTAACAAGTTTTAATGTGCAATGCTAAAAACAAATGATGCATGATTGAAAATGTATCAGGAAATAGTCTTTATATCATTAAAATACACTTTAAATTTTACAAAACTGTCACAATGTAATTTTGTTCTGCAATTTTTCAGTCATGAAACAAAAATTAATTTATAATCTAACTAATGTCTTAAATTAAAGAATGTCTCTTTCATTACAAGAAAAATCTTATTCTATAAATATCAGAACCATTAATTTTAGCTGCTTACTGATTATCTGAATGCTTCAGTTTTATCACATTTTTCTTTGTTTTTGAATAAATAGTATTGTATTATTATCCTTTCTTTAATTTAAATGTATTCTCTCTATTTACACAATAATAAGACTTTTCTAACATGTGAGTTTTGTATTTAATATTAAAATTTAATTTTGAAAATTTGTATTTAAATTTTAATATTAAACTTAAATTCAATCATTATTTTCATTGTATCATATAATTGTAAATAATAAATTTGTTAGATGTTATAATAACATCAAAATATACATAGATTAATTTTAATTTACTAAGGTAAAAACTTATCTAATTTAGTGAAGATAATGTAATTTAATATTTGTAAGAAAATATTTTAATACCAACAATCAAATCAAAACATCTAAAAATGTGAAATGAAGTTATTTAAATAAATTATTAAAGAACAATTTTAAAAATATTATTTAAGAAATTTTAAAATACAGGTAACCCCCGTATAACACAACGCTTCTATAGCACGGATTCACTCTAACACGGTTCGAGAATTGGTACCATCCCCCGTATAACACGGTACTTTTATAGCACGGATTTACTCTGACACGGTTCGAGAATTGGGTAAAACCCTCGTACAACAGGAAATGTAATAAATTTTTACATACTTAAGTAATAATAGTTCACGAAAATTATTATTTTCGTGAACTATTAGTACTTAAGTATGTAAATTTTCTCTTCTCGCCTTCTGTCGATACACGTGGTCCTTCTCGAAACTTGTTTCAATGTTGCCAGATCGCGACGCTTCTGCTTCTGATGTTGCCGAATGTTTTCCCTTATTCCATACTTGCTTTATTCTTCATAAGTACTTAGCACCATATAAGGAAATTTATAAAGACCTTTTAAATAGAAGCAAGCAATCTAAAATTACATACATTTTGCAAAAGGTAAAGCATGGATCTGAAGATAATGCAGAAAAATGCTCAGAGGATAAGGATAACTTGCCAAAAATAAAACGCTCTTGGTTAATTAATAGTGTTTTTAGTGATGACAAAGAAAACATTGTTTAATTTATACAGTATTAATATGTATCACTTAAAAAAATTTTAATGAAGATATTTATCTTAATTATCAAAATATACTAGCATGTTTTTTTAATTTTTGGAACCTAACCCTCCTTTTCGTATTAGTTCTTTGTTTCGTATAACACGGATTCGCATAACATGGTAATTTTTTGGAACGTAACTACCGTGTTATACGGGGGTTACCTGTATTCTGATTCCACTCAATAGTTTTATAAACAAGACTACACTAATCTTTTTTATTGTTTAAAAAATTATATAAAATTTATAAACAATATTTCTTAATTTGTGTTTATCAAAATTTTCATGTAAAAAACTTTTTATAGTTTTATTTCAAATTATATAACATAAATTTAATGAATGAGAGAACATAAATTAATACAATACATATATAAATTCTCCCTCAAAAATCTCTATTACATAATTTTATGTATACATTAATCTCTTCAACAAAAAATTTTATAAACAGATGTATGGAAAACTAACATAGTAGCATTTATCCAATTCAACTAGTTGACATATGCTTTCTACCTATTGGTTATTTCTGTATATAAAACATATCTCCATTTCAATACAGAATACAGTCAAACTGTATATGTTTTTCAAGAAAACTGAGAACAATATTGTATAAGAAAAAATATACAAGAATGAAGTTACTTTTGAATTGCTTTCAGAGTGAACATAGTAGTCACAAAAATATGGCACTGCACAAATTAACACTGTGCAACTGAATTCATATGTGTAATTCTTAACAAAAAGTTTCAATTTATTACATATATAATACATTTGAATAACGTATAAAAGGTAAAGTAAACTCAGTCTAAAATTAAACCATATAATTTTAAAAAATTGATAAGTTTTGTTTGTTTGTTTGTTTGTTTGTTTTTCGACAAATTTTTCACATACTGGTACAGATGACGTCAGTTGTCTCCTTCCTTTGAAATTCTAGTCACTAAAAGAATAGTCTTTCAAAAGTTTAGCTCACACCT